CTCATAACGCCTGGTAGGTAGGCAACATCTTGTCTGCAGTGCACGCGCGTACTGCTGGGTGGCCTACCTCGAGTTTCGCAGGCGCCAAGCTCTTATGATTTGCCGCGTGAAACGGTGAAAAACTGACGAACTTTCTAGACGATCCCATACGTGTTTGGTAGTTATTTTTCACGTTGCACTGTGCCGTTTTTCCTACAGGAGGAGGAGCGCGAGTGGCTGTGGGCGCGGCTCGAGCGCGTGGCTGGAGAGCAGGTGGCCGCCGCGGACGCGCGCACCGCGGCCGAGGCCATGCTCCAGTCGCAGGCCTTCGACAACTTCCTCGCCACCAAGTTCGTCTCGTTCAAGCGGTACGGCTGTGAGGGAGCAGAAAGCATGCTGGCCTTTTTTCTGCAGCTCGTGAACTCGGCCGCCGACGGTAGGGTGCGTTCCAATTTCAGTGAAGTACTGGAGTGGAAGTTTTTTTTTTTGTTTTTTTTTAACCCAGTGAAAACAGACGAGACGTCGTTGCAACGTGTTTCAGGTGGCGTGGAGCAGCTGGTGGTGGGGATGCCACACCGGGGGAGGCTGAACTTGCTCACCGGGCCGCTGCTCATGGACCCCAGCGTGCTCTTCAGGAAACTCAAGGGTCTAAGCGAGTTTCCCGACTCAGCGAAAGCCTCAGGAGACGTCACCAGCCACCTCAGTACGTGTCTGTAGCGATCTCCGACTGTTAACCGCTGCTCCAGAAAGTACGTCCGCCGTCCGCCTTTAATCGCCGTAACGAAACGCCGAGTTCAGCCTATGCAAGCTGGTATAGCGCCTGGTGGGTAGGCAACATCTTGCCTGCGGCGCATGCGTGCATTGCGGGGTGGCCTACCCTGGGTTTCGCAGGCGCCGAGCACCCGTGATATACCGAATATGAATCTGAGAAAAACGGACGAACTTTCTGGACAGTCTGTGTGTGCACATTGTTTTATTACTGCCTTGATGGTCCCCCGACAGTCAGCTCCGTGGACCTGCCCAACAGCCGCGGGGGCGCGTGCCACGTCACGGTTCTGTACAACCCTTCGCACCTCGAGGTAAGTCAACGGGCGCATCAGAGGCGGGGCGGTGTGGTGGTGGATCCCAGGATCCCGGACTGACACGAGGCACCCCCTGAAACAGGCCGTCAACCCCGTGTCCATGGGCAAGACGCGCGCCCGACAGCAGTCTCTCGGCGACGGCGACTACGCGGCGGCCGAGCCCCGCCGCTGGGGCGACAAGGTGCTCAACCTCCAGGTGAGGCGCGTGAGGGTGCGGTGTGCCCTGGGCGGCGGACAAAGCGACTGCTGGCAACTCTGTGCTCACCATGGCCCTCCCGCTGCCGCAGATCCACGGCGACGCCGCCCTGCCCGGCCAGGGCATCAACCAGGAAACCCTGGCCCTCTCCAGACTGCCGCACTTCGAGGTGGGCGGGTCCCTGCACCTGGTCGTCAACAACCAGGTGGGCTTCACCACGCCCAGCGAGCGCGCCAGCTCGTCGCGCTACGGCACCGACCTGGCCAGGGTGGTCGGCGCCCCCGTGCTCCACGTCAACGGCACGCGCCCCGAGGCGGTCATGAAGGCCGCGAGGCTCGCCGTCGAGTACCAGCGCCGCTTCCGCAAGTGAGTCCAAACAAAATTTTCTCTTGCATGAGCTTAATTCCTCCGCCAAGGCGCGTTATAATGCCCCGTCTGGATCAGGGACGTGTTCGTCAACATGAACTGCTTCCGGCTGTGGGGCCACAACGAGATGGACGACCCGACCTTCACCAATCCCCTGCTGTACAAGAAGGTCCGCGCCGGCAGGTAGGAGTCGGGGGAGGGAGTGAGGGGAAGATCACTGTGGCGGCCTGGCTGGCCGAGGCGATAATTCTGGAGGACTCGCGGCTATCACTGGTTTCTTGCGCAGGAGCGTACCGGACACGTACGGTTCCGAGCTCGTGGACAGAGGGGTGATGAAGAAAGGGGAGCTGGAGAAAATAGTCGCCGACCGCATGGAGTGGCTCAACGACAAGCTGAAGAAAATCGACAGCTTCGTGCCCAAGGTAAAGGCACAGGTCGATGAACAGTTTGTTCCATCCCTTAATACAAGGGCACTGTAACTAAACTCCCGTGGTGGCGCATGGTGCTCCAGCCCACATACTTCCAGAGGCAGTGGTCCTCCGTTGAGCAGGCTGGCGCCGCCGTCACAAGCTGGGACACGGGGGTCGACGTGCAGCTCTTGCGACACATCGCTCGGAAGTCTGTCGAGTACCCGGAGCACTTCGTAAGATTGGCCTGAAGAGAACGAATGTCTTAACCCTGTTGCATATCGTGACATTTCACAAATAATATCATTAATTATTTCCTAAAAAAACTTACCGCAGAACGTGCACCCACACCTCAAGAAAATTCACGTGGATGCCAGGCTGCGGCGTGCTGAGGAGGGTGCCGCCATAGACTGGGCGACGGCCGAGGCGATGGCATTCGGATCTCTTCTCGCTCAGGGCAAGTTCCGCACCCCGTGGCGTTAGGTGTAGTACGCCGTGCACCACCTGTTGCAGCGCATGCTGCCGCGCGGGCTGGGCTGCGCAGGTCGCCCTACGAAGCCGTGGTCAGCGTCAGCGGCGGTAGGCAACCCGCCCGCGCGACTGCGTGCGGTACAGCATGACGTTGGGGCTAATGACGAGACCCTCGCTTCTAGGATTCGACGTGCGGATAACCGGGCAAGACGTGGGGCGCGCCACATTCTCCCACCGCCACGCGATGCTGGTGGACCAGGAGACGAACGACATCTTCATCCCGCTCAACTCGATGGAGGAGCAGCAGAAGGCGCACCTCGAGGTGGTCAACAGCCCGCTGTCCGAAGAGGCCGTGCTCGGCTTTGAGTACGGCTTCAGTATCGAGAATCCAAACAGGCTGGTCATATGGGAGGCGCAGTTTGGGGATTTTTTCAACGGCGCCCAGATAATCATCGATACTTTCATCACGAGCGGAGAGAGTGAGTAGCCAACCAGAGAACACGATTTCGTCAGAACGACAGCAAGTATGATGCCAGTGTCAAGATTTGTTCGTTTTGGTGGCCTGATTCGACGTCATTTTGATATCAAAAATGACATCATTTGCTGGATAACGTCGAAGCAGACCACCAAAATGACAAAATTTTGGTAATTTTGAAAAAAGCGTGTTCTCTGGGCAAACACGGAGCCAAGGGGAGAGGGGACGCCCAGCTTTAACCACCCCGACCTTCTTTACAGCCAAGTGGATGCAGTGCTCGGGACTCACAATGCTGCTCCCGCACGGCTACGACGGCATGGGTCCTGAGCACAGCTCGTGCCGCCTGGAACGCTTCCTCCAGCTGACGGACTCCAGCGAGGTACGGCCAGACGGGGAGGACGTCAACTTTCAGGTCGCCAATCCCACCACCAGCGCGCAGTACTTCCACCTATTAAGGAGGCAGGTGGGTCCGGTTGCACCGCCGCGGGGCGCTGCTGCCTATCTGACCAGTGGTGAAAATGACACTCTGTCGACAGGTACTTCGAAAGTGGAGGAAACCTCTGGTCATCGTCGCTCCCAAAATTATGATAAGAATGTCGGAAGCGGCGTCTAGCCTCATGGACATGGCTCCTGCTACGACATTCAAGCCGGTAATAGGTAAGGTACCTGTGAAATGGCATACCAGGAATCTTTCGATGGAAAAATAATGACGACTCACTGTGCTGTGCAGGGGACACCTCCGTGGACCCCCTGCGTGTCGAGCGAGTACTGCTAGTGTCGGGCAAGCACTTCCACGCGCTGGACAACCAGCGTCGACAGCTGGGGCGGAAGGACGTGGCCATCGTCCGTCTTGAGGAGCTGTGCCCCTTCCCCGTGCACCAGCTCAACCAAGAACTGAACCGCTTCCCCAAAGCCAAGCGTAAGTAGTCTGCGGCACATGAAAGTAGACGCGATCGGCTGCAGTGGACTCGCACTCAGCCACGTTATGTTGCAGACTTCATCTGGAGCCAGGAGGAACCGCGCAATATGGGAGCGTGGACCTTCGTCAAACCTCGAATAGAAAACATGGTGGGGAGAAAGGTGCGTGACACAGTTCGTTGCTTTTCAGAATGCGCATATGTCTACGCTCAAGTGAGTGACTCGATTTAACATTTGGCAGGTTCATTTTACTGGACGAGATACACTTGCTGCGCCGGCTGTGGGAATAGGCCACATTCATCAACAACAAGCCAAAGAAGTAATTGAAAACCCTTTTACAATCTCCATGTGAAAATCTGATACACATACAAAAATCATGGAAATGTATAAGAAATATGTAATGTAAGCTTCAAAGAAGAAAACATATTTAAGATACACCAGTTTATTTTTCATTTTTTTGCAAGCACATTATTGTACACAGAACAATAAGGTCTGATTTTGTTTGGAAATATGTTACTTGCTATATCTAATTATAATGTAAAACTTGAAGAAATGTGGCAGTAAGTTCTTTCATGGTAGAAGGCTCAATGAGACACATGAATACGGAAGTCTTGAAAGACTCAAAAGCTAAGTTCACCTGATGAAATTGGTACAAGGTGCTTGAAGAGTCGTGTGACCCAATAGTTAACTGATCAATGTACATTTACTACACGTCACACTGATATATGACACTAAATTGTAGAATTAATAATAAAAACTATTAAGGTATCTGCAATACTTGCTCATTAACATTGGGTGGGGATGAAGCTGGCAATATGCTCTTCATATTAACCAGCATGAGGACTAACCCTTCCAATGCAAGGATTATAATTCCAAATAGAACTTTGAACATACAATTCATTCCCCAATAAATTATCTTTTCTCAATGAATATTACGCTATTTGACAGAAGCAAAACAGTAAATAAAACATGAAAATTATCAACATTATTGGCAAGAAAAGTTTACAAGATATTTTAAACCCGAAGCATGGAAGTCTCAACACTCTAGCCTGGTATGTTGAGCCTTCCTGAGGCCAACCACTGAGCACTACAGTATCTAAGCCACCGAAATTGCTTTCTACGATGGCTCTATGGCACATAACACTGAATAATTGTAGTGGTGAATTGAACCAATTTTATACAATCTTATCTTCAAACAAGTTTCTTGTTCTTGTATAGTACATAACACTTCATCTATGCTTGCAACATGAAGTTCCAAACAAAGCCCACATGTACATTTTAAAGGGAGGAGGGGAGGCATATGACTCCCCTAGTTCAACACAGTACAAGACTTTTAACATTACAGGAATTAGGTCTTGCTGACTTGCTATCACATTCTTTTTTCCATACACAGGATCTCTTTGTATCTATCATTTCTCACAAGTATGATAGAATTGGCACAAAATTCGCCAGAATATCTCTTAAAGCTTCTAGAGCACAAAGAATGGAGATGATTGATCAAAAACTGTATGTGCTTTTCAACAGAACTATTACAGAATAGATAAATAAATAGTCTTTGAACATTTGAAGAAAGTTCAATTTTGTTTTGAAACATATAAATTCTGGGACTGTTAACTTAACAACCACCACTGATTTAATAATACCTAATCACAAAGTTTGCTTGCATATTCTTAGGAAAACACAGACAAAACCACAATTTTGTAGCAGATAACTAATTATGAAAAATGTGAACATTCGTGAATCCAGTTCCCAGAAAGCAATAATTCCACAAAATGTAGTGCAACACAGTTATTAGATGTAAAGGCTACCATGAATCAAAAGCAAGCACATGTATTATACAATTAGAAAATAACACTTTCCATTAGCACTACAGGAGCATCCGATATGCTAACATTTTTTGAAGAGGGCGTACAGTTTACCAATTAAAAGCATTATATATCAAATCCATTGGAGTTTGAGTCTTAATTCTCTTCCAAATGCCCTTGAACAAATGCTTGCAGACATGCATTACAGGATAGAGAAACTTTATTCTGCAGTGCGTGTCTGCAGGCAAAACAGATCCACTTTCAACCTCGCAAAACTTACATGGAAAATACAAAAAGTGTTATGTACAAAACAGCATGTTATTGCAAATACTAAGTCAGGAACATGTGCCACTGGGCTACTTGGCTCAGCTCGACCCTCCAATGTACCTAACACAATGTTTCTAAGACTGGAACCGGTAACAAAGTTACGTGTCACACTTGCAACACATTAACAACATCTCTGAGGCATGAAAGTTATTGACACTCATCAAACCAATACAGCCTCACTTTGAAGAGTGGCAGAAACAGTGAGAAAAGGGAAAAGCATATTCCACAGAGTTCCTTACACAAATAATTTCCACAAAGCAAAATGATTATCTTCAATAACATAAAAAGGAAAAGAAAAAAAGAAGAAATTTAAAAATGCAACACTGCTCAAACACTTAAATAGTAAAAAGATATGCTATGATGAGTCTCACCTCTTGACCTGTGGTAACCAAATTGGCGTTATAAAAATTTGTTTTTGATCTAAAGGTTTACAGTTCACCGATACATAAATAGATGCCATTCTCTCTCCCTCTCTCTCTTCTATTGATAGTGGCAAAGATATTTGTTTTGTTAGGTCATTGGTGGGTACGGCATAAATATTCATGCTCGGGATGGACAATTCATTTTACACGAAAAATTATATGTAAATTTTAAATAATTATTAACACTTATGCAAATGATATAAATCTATGTTTATTTACATAACAGAACATAAGTTAATGTCCCTGTAGCTGAAGATAACAAACAGTTTCATTCAAACCAAAATAAAATTCAATCAAATGAAAGAAAAAGAAAACAGTAGTAGTACTTCAAGAAAACAAATATTTATTCTGAATGAATGATCACTCTACGATATATACATTTATATAAACGAGATTCCTGAAGAGTCAAATATGATCTCAGGGCCATAAACATCTGTTCTGAAATCCTTAAAATAGGCCAGATGTAGTCTATTCAGTCAGCACATGCACACATATGTATAAATAAAGTGAGAATATGTACACAAACATTCACAACTCACTCACACAAACACGCATCACACAAGGACCCACTTCGCCACAAGCCTCCACAAACCACTTGTAAGACTGTCTCCATATACCTCTGAGCCGCTCACGTTGATAAAAGTGCACATTCCACAACAGGGTGAAAGATGGGTGATGCAAAGACAACTAAAACCCACTACGATGCAGTTGATATGAAGTAGTTTCACTGTTAGACACCTTTCTTCAGGCACAAGATAGATGGCACTTGAATCTTTCACACCCGTTGCTCTCCAGGTGCAAACACAAAATTTAAGTTGGTCACAAATACCTGAAGCACATGTGAACACAGCACATGAACAATTGACCCTTGAGGAATAGTTCAATGGAGCATAGAGTGGTGAAATCCAAGAACAAAATCAGTGATGGCTGTCACAAAACCTTTCTAAATGACCTGATTATACAATTAGTGATGCAAGCTTGCGTACAGTACAAGAGGGGAAACTTAACTTACATGATAACTTCCTCAGTCAATCAAAACATATACAATAAAACACTACAAACTAAAGTGAAAATATGACAATCATCAATGCAGAAAGTTTAAACGCAATATCAGAGAGAATGCAAGAATCAACAAAACAATATAAACAAAAGACACTATAAAAACAAGGTATCACAGCACTGAATGGAGGATTTTAAACATAAATGTAGCTTAATCTCTGATAAATGATTTTATTAAAAGGAAGGGATGGGCATCATGTTCAAACATGCATGCAAAACAAGAGGTTTGCAAGAATACCCAACCCTCCTGACAAGGAAAGTTGATCAAGATTGTAAAAAAACACCAGTTTAAGGAAATGTACCGCTAATGAACTAAAGCAGATTGTTGAGGATTGCAGAGAGACAGTGGCTCCTACTCGTCACCAAATAACAATATGAGAAACAATTATGAAAATGATGAACTCTCTAACCTGACAGCCATCGCCTGATAATGTATCACTCACATACAGTCATCATGATGACTGAGTATGGATTCCAATGTGGAGGCTTTAAAGCACATCTCAGTTAACCATTAATGTGTGAGATCCTACAGGGGCAGCTGAGTCATACAAAGTGTCAGTGTCTTGAGTAGGCTCTCCTTGAAGTTGACATTGGTTGTTCAACGTTCCAGCACCACAGTCACAGAAAAATCTGAAGAAAAACAACAAAAGTGAGTAATTAAGGAGTTAAAATAAAAATATTTGAAGACAGTTCAGTGGAACAATCGATGAGACAAATACCTGTCATGTCTTATAAATTCAACTGTATGACCAGCATGGCAGACCTTAATGCAATTCACACAAATGGCGTTTCTGTCAGTTGTGTTACAAGTCTGGCAACGATAGAAGTCATGCATTGGAAATGAGGTGTAGCTCGAGATTTTATACAGGCACTGGCCATCAGTCACAGCTTTTTCAATAGCATCCTGGTTACTGAATATTCTATTTTCTGGATAAGAAAACACAAGGAAAGAATGTAGTTAATTTCAATTTAAAGATTCAGAACTCAAAGCACAACAGTATGAGACAGCAAAATGGACCTGCCAACAAGATCAATTACGGTAATACCTTTTAAGAGTGGGTGAACACCACTTGCTAAACAGAGTCCACCAAAACGATTGTTGAAAATTTCATTGTATTCTAAGGTTGCAGTTGCTGTATTGGTGATTTCAACACCTGCAGCTTGTCCATCAAAGATTCTATTTCGTCTCAATATTGGGTGAGATCCAGTAGAAATTAGCACACCCGCTTGGGCATTGCGAAAAATGTCATTACCTTCCAAAACCCCTAAAAAAAAAAAATGTTGAATAGATAACAAAACAATTATATAATATTTCATATTGATAATGTATGTCCAGGATAAATTCTAGAAGTTAAGTAATAAGATATGTCTTGACATTGCACAAATATTGTAACAGTAGTGTGTATTAGATGACTTAAATAATGTACAATATTGTGCCAATATCATCCACTGCTTTAGCTATAAGATATCAAAAGTAAATGATGAATATTACCTTTGCCACCACTAAACACACAAATGCCACCATCTCTTCCATCAAAAATTTTGTTGAGTTTTAAGGTCGGGTTGGACTCTGTCTTAATCCAAACTCCAGCCATGGCATTGTCAAATATTTCATTCTGCTCCAGAAGTCCAAGTCCTCCATTGTATACAAGCACTCCACCATTCTGACCACCCCAAATTTTGTTACCTCGGATAATGGGATTACTGCCCGTCCTGTACAACATTATTAACACATATTAATGAATGTGGTGATAATACATATGACGGTGTGGACTGTAAATGCTGATATATAACTGTTACCTACCTAATCTGAACTCCAGAGTACATGTGGTTGAAGATTTCATTATCTTCCAGTCTTCCATGACCATTATCATAAAAATAAACACCAACTTGCTTGCCGGAATGAATACGATTGCGTCTCAAAATGGGAGTGCTACCAGTAGTGATCCACACACCAGCTAAAGAGTTGGAGTGAACTTCATTCTCTTCTACAAGGCCTCTACCTTTCTCATGTACATAAATACCACCATGTTGACCATCATGAATCACATTGTGTCTAACAATTGGGTCACTTGAAGTTCTGATTTGAATACCAGCCAGAGCATTGCCTACAAAACAAAATTCAAGATTGATGCATAATGCACATAGAATGATTCAAGTCAGCTTCAAACTATGAAATACATACCATGGATATCATTATGTTCAATCAACCCCCGTCCTTCACCAAAAATATAAACACCACCTTGCTGTCCGTCATAAATCTCATTGCGGCGTATAGTAGGGTTGCTGTTAGAAGTGATCCAAACCCCAGCAAAGTTGTTGGAGTGAATTTTGTTGTCTAAGAATTGACCAAGCCCATTCTCATGGACATAGATACCTCCTGTTTGACCATGGTGAATTTCACAATTTACAACAGTGGGGTTGGCTCCTGCCTTTACTTCAAAGCCAGCAATTCGGTTGTTATGGATGTCACAAGATTCAAAATAACCCTACAGCAAAAATGACAATAAAAACAGATAAGAAAAATAATGGGCGCATAACAACACAAGAGCAGCAATGGGTTCATAAACTCACCATGCCATTGTCAAAGGTAAATACTCCTACATCGCGGCCATGATGGATATGATTTCTTCTCATAATAGGACTTGCACAATTTTTCACCCAAATACCAGCAAGCGCATTGCGACTTATTTCATTGTCTTCATACAAGCCTTGTGCATAGTCCGTCACATACAGGCCCACATTCTCACAATCACTGATATCACAATGTCTGATTGTTGGATTAGCTCCCATACCACTCACACATACAGTGGAACCCACTAATGGAAAGAAGAATAAAAAACTTAGCTGTTTGATACCAGTAGATACTGCTGACCTCATGAATAAATATGTTCCAGAGTAAAATATTGCTTACCAACTGAACTACTTCGTATAATGCAATGATCAATTGTAGGGCTACAATTTTCTCCAATTTCAAGGGCATAATGCTTGTGATGAGGTGTTGTGGATCCCACATCAGGAGAAAACTTTAATGTTACATGCCCTAGGTACGCCTGCTTAGCACCCTCAACAAACATAATAGTGGACTCTGATTCACGGTCCAATATCACAGATTCAGCAACATTTCCAGGGGCCGCACCTAAAATGGGTAAAATTAATAAAGCTGGAAATTAAGTGGACTGTACTATTCAAAAACAACTAGGTCCTAGAACGTACCAATAAGAGACACATCACAATCGATGACCAGAAATTCGCCTGTGTATGTCCCAGAATGAATAAAAATAAGAGCCCCATCTCCAGCATCAGTGTGAAGACTTTGTCCTTTCTCATCAGCATAGTCCAAAGCAGCTTGAATAGTGTTGAAAAAAGGAACTTTTCTGCCTTCAAATTTAAGGTCCTGGTAACCTTGTCGTACATGGACACCTCGATACAACTGCTGGAAACTTTCCTTCCATGGGTTAGCATGTTCACAGTCTGATACATTCTCAAATTCAAAGCGACATGGCTCTGGGTTGAAAAGTGGAACATCATATTCATATAATGACTGATAAAGTTTTTTCCTGTAAAGGAAAAGAAAAACGAACAGAAAATAAGAAAATTGCAGTTAATGGTGTTAGAACCTAAAAGGTGCAGAGAATATCTCAACTTACCAGAGTTCCACATCATTAGCAATACTCCTGAACCGTCTGCACACTTGGCTGACTCTGCACAAGTCTTTTTCCATCAAGTAACTGAAGACTAATAAAATTACTTCATCTGGTAGATCATGAAGAAGGTACTGAGCAGCAAACGTGCTGTTTTGAGCTAGAAACAATTAAGTCAATAAGACAAGTTTTGGATGACAAATATGGTTGGTTGTATACATTGCAAGGCTTTGGAGCTAAACTTACATTCCCTTTCAACACTGCTAACAGACTGTGTCCGTCTTGGTCGTTTTCTTGCTGGCACCATGGAAGCATTATCAGTGGCATTGAAGAACATTGTGGGAGAGGTAGATGGGGTGCCACTTGCACTGCATGCCATGCTCTGACTTGTTGTGCAACTGACAGCAACTGAGCTTGTGCTTGGTCCACCGTCATTGTGAGGAGGTGATTTCCGGCGAAGGTCATAAGGTGGGTGGTGGATTACGTTGCCTGGTATACTTGCTCCCGAGGCAGTTCCTGGAGGGTCTGGTGTACCCGATGTAGAAGAGCTACCACTGCTTACAACAAAAACTACTCCGGAACCAGCTGCGGCAGCTGCAGAGGTTGCTGCTGCAGCTGCTGCACCGGCAGAGCTTCCTGCAGGTCCTGTTAAAATAAACAGTACATAATTTAAAAAACATGACAAAGATTCAAGAAAAATACAAATGTCACAAAGATTTATTCAATACAGATATGTATCACAGACTCAAAAATAATGCTATAAAATGGGTTATTTAAGAAATGCAACCAATTTCCAAACTATGGTATGTTTTTGAGACAAAAGTGTGAAAGAAAGCAATAAGTGCGAATGTAATAGCTATTTCAGCCAAAATTTACAGATGAAAAAAGATTTCGGCCAGTTTGGTCCATGTACCAAGATTAACAATGTACACAATAGATATTGCCGAATAAATAATCAAAAACAGCACCCTAAAAAATTGTAAGACATTCAAGGAAGTTAACAAATGCTACTTATCCACTAATACACTTTTTTTTTTCTTTTAGTAGTTTGTAAACATAGATGGAATTGAAGGTGACAGAAATAGAAAGATTTGAGAGAGGGGGGAAAACAGGTAACATGAGGTATGCCACAGGATTCATACTGGATAAAATTAAGAAATGCAAAGCACAATAGGAGATAACTTGGTAATAATAGCTCGAGATCGGCCGACAACAGGCTTTGTTTATGTGTCATAACCACTACTTTAAATCAATCCGGTACAAAATGCGGCCCAAAAAACTAATCTACAACGCGAAAATCTTAAGTAGTGAAGTAAATTTTACAAGAAGCAGACAAATTTAGTCGAGAAACAGATGTTGATTGGGCGATATGTTGGGGTCTGCTCGCTACACTGAACACTGAACGTACGCTGGGAAACCTTGACCGACGTCCATTAGGCTAGGCTTCTCAATATAACCTGACGATTTAGCGACAAAATGTATGGGGCTGACACAAGCAAGATTAGCCATGCAAAATGTTCTAGATTACGGATAAAGGATCAGCCGGATTCCTGATAAATCTAAATCCCTTTCGAAAGAGGTATTAGGAATATTGGTGTGGAATTCTAAGTGAACACAGGATTCGGGGAACGAGTCAAACCAGCCATTTCAAAATCGACTTACCTGCGCTTGTGCGGGGTGGAACGGGTACTCTATTAACTCCTTTTCGTCGGGATCTTCTAACGTAAGAACGTGACGGTGTACAGGACGCGCTGGGCATTTTGAAAATCAAAAAATTGACAACACAAGCAAGACTTAAACAAAGAGGATACGTCCGAGGGTACTGGCGGCCATTTTCTCCTTCTGAAGACGGAAGCAATG